CTCAAAGATCTAGATAATGTGGCCAATAACTGCAGACCTGTCTGACTTCAGAGACTGCTCCTTAGCAGTCTATAGGATCAGTGCTGGAGAGAGCCCTGGTAGAACAAAGTCACTAGAAAGACAAGTCCTGCATCTTGCCTGTCGTGATTAAACAAACTTAAAATAGTTTCCTCTGTGTTGCGGCTTATTTGTTTAAAGCTACAGAAAATGGTATGAACTTCAGCAATTCAGCACAGAAGCATGAGGTGAAAAGGACAATCTCACACTAATCCATATCATAAAAAATTCTACTTAGGCCTGAAATACGGTCTCTTTATTGCCCTCTAGGATATTCTGAATCTAGTGAAGCATTTAATTATTTGTTTCTTGTCCTGACATCTCTGCTTCTTAACTGATTCACCTCAATTGTTCTAAAAATAAAAATGGACAGCCACAAGGGTACACACTGATGGGAGCCTAAATAAAACCTACTGTGGTATCAAAAATAATTTCCAAGTCTCAGCAGAGTGTGCTCAAAAGCACAGCATTAAAATGGTTTTCTTTTAGTTGATCATTATCTATCAATATTATGAAGAAAAATGTTTAGTACTGAGAAAGCATTTTTGAAAGAAGTGTTCTAATGTTTTTCTTTTCGAAGTTTGAAGAAAATTAAAGTAGGGTAATAAATGCTATGGATAAATGAACAGTCTGAATTTAAAAGTGAAGGTAATCTGTAATATTTTCACTGTTTATAGCAAAACACAATGAACTAAAATTACAGAAAAAAAATAGGTTTCAGTGAACTCATTAAGGTCAAGAATCATAATTCAATCAAATTTATATTTTCTATAATAGTATGGCCATTTTGAAAATGTCAAACCTATACAATTTTGAAATGGCTAATTTAAAATATACATTAATTTATTATGCTAGATTATTTAAAAATTGTGTTATTCACAAATTAAGAAGAAAAAAAATAGTAATTTTACAGTAAAGAGAAAAATGGAAAGGAAAAACTAGGAAAATACTAAAAAGAAACCCCAGAATTAAGAGAAAAAGAGACAAGACAGAAATGCAAAAATGTAAAAAGAAGATATTCTTGTTATTATTCTAAATATCTGAAGAAAGAAAAAACAAATAAATACAACCAAACATGGCCTGAGTAAACAAAGACTTAAAAATACAATGTGTAATTCTTAGTGATCAATCTAAACTAGAAAGAATTTTGGTTTTATTTTTACTTTTTTATTGCCACAAAGTATGTGTGCTTACCAGAGTGAATGTATGTGTGTGTGTGTGTGTGTGGGGGGGGGTGAAAAAGAAAGCACTCCCCAGTGGGGTGTGGTCACACGCTTCCTCCACCCATCAGGATTCTGAGTATGCACTCATACGCATCCAGTGTGTTTTTTAAGCTGCCAGTCTGGGATTTGAACCACTGTTGGCCATGTGAGATCTGACATAAGCCATTTAACCACTGTTATAAGGCTGGCCTCAGAATTTTTAAATTTTATTTATTTTTTTATTTTCTGGGTCCTGGAGTTTATATTTTTTAAAAAATGTCTCTGTCAAGACAACTGAAAAATCATGTGACTGGCCAGCCCTATAGCTTAGTGAATAAGGGAGGTGGAACCCATATGGCTGACAGGTCTGAATCCTGCCCTCAGTGACTTGAAAAACCTGCCGGTGTGAATATATGCTTGTCCAAAGCCCTGACAGGATAGAGAAATGGAGGAGGAGGGAATAAGGCATGACCATGCTCCATCAGGGGGTATTTTTCTCCCTCTTTCTTTCTGGCAAGTGCACACGCCCTCCAGCAATTAGAAAAGAAAGAAAGAAAAAACAGATGATTAAACATTTCTATGGACAAATTCACCATTTTACCCTCAATTTAAGTATATTAGTGGACTCTACAAAGCACTATACCAATTAAGAACATGTTTTGAAGAATAAAGTATTTTAGAAATTGGTAAGATGTTGTTTCTTTCCTTTCTTATTCATGGGGGGTGTATGACTGGAAAAAGTAAGGGATGTTTAAAAAGATACTAGTTGGGACCGGCAGATGGCGTAATGGTTACGTTGCTGGACTCCCAAGTAGTCAACCAGTTTGAGCCCTGGACCCAGTGACTTAAAACTGACATCGTGTGTGTGTGTGTGTGTGTGTGTGTGTGTGTGTGTGTGTGTACCCAAAATCCCAAGAGGAGAACGGAGGAGAAGGGATTGTGGCATGGACATCCCTCCTAGGTGTGATTTCTCACTTTCTCTGTCTCTCCAGCAAGCACATGAACCCTATAGCTAAAAATCTCTCTCTAGGAAAAAAAAAAAAAAAGATACTAGTCACACCTACATAGTTCTTGGCTATATACATCAAATACATTTAATCTACTTGATTTTGTTTAGGTATTTGTTTAAAACCTGTAAAAGTCTATTAAATATTTTCATGATACTTTTCACTTCCAATAAGAGACCCACTGTGAAAATATTCAAACTCTTGAATGTTCATGTCAGTACTTAATAAAAAAGATTAATCTTTTCAAAAAGCTTTATACTTTACAACTACAAGAACCTTAACATATACCAGAGCTTTGTTCTAGTACAAGACTTTTGCCAAAAGCAAAAGCACTCAATACATAATTTTAATAATGAAAACTTAAAGTATTAGAAACCAAGCTGTGTGTGGGGAAAAAAATAAATCATTTAGGTGAAAGGGTAACAAACATTCAATTCAAAGATAATGCAGCCCTGAGGGAAAATATGCATATGAATGAAGTTATGAAATTGGTTCAATGCTTCTGTTAAGAAAAAATAATTAGTTTATTTTAAAGCTGCCTATAAAATGTTTTCAATATTGCATTATGAATTATTTATAGAAAAATGTACATCTAACTTTAAAGTTTTATTGAAAGATCTTAAGTACTGTAGGAGGAATGAGAAATAGGAATATATCATTTTGTATATGTACCATTTGGGAGATTGCTTTTTAATGGTATGATATTCAAAAAAGTTAAGATTATCAATATGAATCTACACTTCTTTCCAGATTTAAGAAATTAAATTGAAAGTGGAACATCAATTTCATTTTAAATTTCAAACAAAATGCCTTTATTTTTCCTGAAAGGAAAGGGGTCTTGCTCTGCCAGGATCCTCCTGCCTCAGCCATGTACCATCACAGCTAGGACCAGAAAGCCTTTTACAAGTGACAAGTAGGGATGACTGGTGGTGTACTGTGATACAAGGCTTAGCCAGGCTGAACCCCCCACAGGAAAGTCCCAGGTTTGTGTTTTGAAACTTCCGGTATGGGTATGCGGGCAGTGCACCCAGAACCTGGGCTGCCGAGCTGGGGGTAGGTTGTGACGTGAGGATCCTATTGGATGTATTTCTGTCTCTCTCTGAAGAAATGAATGAAATAAACTTTTAAAAAATTGACAAATACATATATTACTTGGAAGGCCTTATACACATTTAAAAAAATGTAAGAAACATATCTAAGTTTATTAATAAAAATAAATTTATATATTTTGTGTTCAGAAGTTAAGGTAGAGTAGGGTTTTATTAAGAAAAAAAAAACCTGGATTTAAAGTTTTACTCTAATGATACTGTGTATACTACAAAAAAATAAAATTCAAATGACTCCATGACCCTACTTAGAATATTCCTTTGGGCCAATGTTTTAATTAGTACTTAATATGGCACAGACTCTAGAGGGAGCCACATAATACCTGAATATTAAAAGTAGCCCTGCCATTTCTCTTCTAAGAGAGAATCTTGCCATGGGTGTGTGTGCTCACTGGAAAGACAGAGAGAAGGAAACAGAAAGCAAGAAATCACCCCCCAGGAGGGATGGCCACACTACAATATCCCTTCTCCTTCATTCTCCTTTTGGGATTTTAGGTTTGCATGTACATGTGCCTGGCATGAATTTCAAGCCACTGGGTCTGGGACTTGAACTGCAGTCGGCCATGTGGGAGTCCAGCAAAATAACCATTAAGCCCATCTCCTGGTTCGAACCTGCCATTTCTTTCCTTTTTTTTTTTTTTTTTTTTTTTTGGATGTTTTTTTTA